ACTCTCAGTCTATGTTACAAATCAACCGAAGAACTGCAAATGTAAGGAAAACTTCCCCTTCAAATATCTTTTGACTATGCAATTCACATAAAACATCAACAAGTGCCACGTGCCGTCACATATAGCATTTTTTTGCAAACGTCCGTGTTTTTCACTCTCGGCAAATCTTGATTCAAATAAATAGGACCGGAGAGCATGAACTGGATTCATCTGGCTCTGGATGGAGTCTAGTGGTGACCTCTTGTAAACAAGGTAATGAACCTTCGGTTTTAATAAAATGCAGGGGGTTTCTTAACTGAGTATTTGTTAGTTTCTCAAGGACATTCCTTCATGGAGTTAATTAATTAGTAAACTGAATCAAGAATTAGGTAAATTAAGTTGTGCAAGCTTCAGTATCAATATGCCTAAACGAATAAAACGCATGCATGTTCATGTTGAAGAGAAAGAGTCTTGTCTAACGCAGAGGCTTTCTTGAAATTACTCTTGTGACGCGTCGCGGTGTTTGGAAGCCAGACAACCGAGGTATGTTAATCATTTCGTAAACCTTCCTTCCACGAGTTTTTATAAAGATGGCGTTATGTTGTTTATTTCTTTTAACGCCAGCAACCGATGAGCGACTCCGGAGCGGAAGTCGCCGCTGGCAACTCGTTATTTACCACCATGGTTTTGTTCCCAACACTTCCGACAGATGTCAGTCATCTCGCACCCAACATGACGTATGATGGCAGGCAATGCAAATGAAAATAAGCATCCCATTTGGCCAGGGGATAAAGTTTACAGAGGGATCACTGCGTTCTAAAAACAGCTGCTCTTGAATGTGATTGGGGTGTGATTTTTTATTCCTTACTTTTTTGGTTTATTCGTGTTGCATCCCTGTTGTAGACAACAATTTTTTGAGTAGAATCATTTGAAAACCAAGTCGTAAGGAGCGAATGTGTGGTACATGCTAGTGACACATATATAAACTGTTTACGTGTACGTCCGTCCTAAGCGTTAACCCATAATGTGGGCGCTGACGGCATCGCTCGACGCATGCGTGGTGTTGATATACTGTCGGCATTGTTTCGTACTGAAATCTTACTGTAGTAATGGTTCATTTGGCCCAGACTGTCTATTATACCTCCATCTTAGGAATATAAACCTGTGAAAATTCATGTGATTGGACAGTGTTGCAAAGACTGGATTTCTATTTTATACGGGAAAAAGGGGAATGTTTCAAGGAAATGGCACGCAACACAGAAAGGTGCTCATCGTCCATCTAGGGGCAAAGGTACATCTCCTACTCTGTACTGTCTTTAGGAATATACGAGATATGGGTTTCACGAGATTTATGATTTTTCTGCCCTGTGAAACCTTATGGTCTGCTAGGTAGTTAAATTTTCAAAGAAATATAATACCATATCTTCGGAGTACATTATTAGCCCTGAAGATAGAAACATTATAGTTCTTCGAAATGTTAGTAACCACCTACGAGACTAGACGGTTGTTAAACTACATTTGGCCACAATATGAATCCTCGCTATGGATGTCTGTATCGTGAATTACTTAACGACGCTTTGTAAAATTTTACGGTATTAAATGTACAGTGAGATTGAAAGATTAGTTTTTAGTATTATTACAGTGCTCTTCATTGGTTTGCAGCTCATGAGACTCATGCCCAGGCATCTCCAACTACAATCTTCCTTCTAGAAATAACAATAGAGTTTCATTTTCAACAAACATAACTTATTTTTAATCAAACTGTATTTTGTTGATACCTTGGGTCATTTTGTACAAAGTAAAAGGTAAAGTCCCTGCTAATAAAGCTATCCCTGTCACCGTCCGTGAAGACCCATAGGGTTGTGAGACGTCGAGGGTCACACGTTTTGTCTAGACAATGGCGGTAAAATTGTCAGTCTTATGCGCCGGCCACCCTTCCCCCCTTCCCCCCTACCCGAAGATTACTGGTACTCATTTCTGTTAAGAGTCTGAGTAAACCCCAGGGCCATAGCGCGGCTGGAAAGATTAGGTAAATTGAAAAATCCACCTCATCGGGACTCGAACCCGTGAGCTTCCGGCTTGTAGCATAGTGTCTTAACCAACTACACTACAGTGTGACTCCTAATAAGCACTACGCCATGAAGGCATACTGGGGGAGTAGATGTATAGATCCACGTTTTCTTGACCTCGGCATTAGCTGGAGGTAAGTGGTCAGCTTCACTCCCCGACCGCTTTATCCCAAGGAAAGAGTCACCGGTAACTACCTTGTACAAATGTTCTATAAATTTCTGTCACTATATATAACTTTCTTCTAAATTATAAAGTTTCTCTGTCCTGTCCGGTGTTCTCATTATGAGGCAATATGTTATGATTTTTACAAGACTGTAACCATGTGGAATCGCAGTGAAAAGTAACGTGAAAGATATTTCATATCAAATACTCTTATTTTTACAATATATATATATATATATTTGATTGTGGTTTCTAATACCTTGTTGTGTACGATATATATATCAAGTGTTATACTGGGTAATTTGGAATTAAACCGAATTTGAACAAATTACTGAAACAATCTTCTACATATTCTTTCATATTTCTGTATTTTTCCCATTATTGTTCTTGTTGTGCTTTAGTTCTACAATTTTTGCCTTCCTCTCTAGATATCATGTTGTTACTGTCGCTTTTGTTGTCACGTATAGTCCTACCAACTTCTGCAAACACAAAATTATAGGTATATTGATATTTAAATACTTTAACGTGGATGGCCATAGGGTTTCTAGGCAACGACATATAAACAACCTTCAGTCGAATAGGATGAATGTTTATAGCTCGTTGTTATTCAACAGTCAGCTCGCAAATGGGTTGGCGAGATGGCTGTCACGTGAGTGGCTTTCTATGGAGTCCGTGCTGCGACCGTTGCTATTCAGCGTCGCGGTAAACATTTCTCTACAACAACAGAAATTAGTTTTCTGTGCGTGGTCGGTGCGGAGGCCATTTAACGAGAATAACACCAGCAGTTCAGCTGAGTTCTCGGTGGAAGACAGCTACGGAAATTTCGTCGTGTAGATATTTCGTGCGTGATTAGAAGACTTTACTAATGTGTAATATTTGGAGTGATATGAAGCGATTGTGTCTGCGTTTTAATTGCATTACCGAGAGAGGACTACTGCATGTGTAACAGTGAACTATAAAGCGTAGAAACAGCGATAGCGCTGTAATTAAATGTGATTAAGAGAGATTGTAATCAAGGTGCCAATAAATCCAATCATCCGAACTAGAACCCGTCATTCTTGTCACGCGTACCACACTACATATATAGTATATATATGGAGACGAACGTGTTTTTCCACTTTCACAGTCTTTCAGACTGGCACGGATTGGTCAGAATTTCAACTAATTAACATATCAAGCTTATTTTTGTGTTTATTATAACTCGTATCTTAGTTACAGCAGAGTTTTTGAATGGAAACTAATATCTGAACATAACTAGATCATAAACCTGTACAATTTTTAGACTTACGTAACATGTGCACAGTTTTCTTACACAGCTTCAGCACAACTGCTCTATTGCGTAACCCGTGAGAAATCAGTAAAAGAATAAGGACATTACCTTCAAGAGCTATTAATTGAGTGGAATTTCGGGTATTTCTATTTTATGTTTAATTTGCTACAAGGCAAAATGTTTTAATCAACCGTAAGAAATAAAAAAATGCTTTCTGACGCTGAATTTATGTTTAATATGACAAACTTTATCACACTAATTATACCACAATTAATCAATTCAACTGCAAATACTACTGCTGAAATCCATTTAATGGAAAAGAATTAGCACAGAACTCTATGTTTGTCACCTAAGAAGTTTTCCAAGCTTTTCTTTGCAAAGATTCGTTCAGAAATTCAGAGAATAATGTTTGAACACTAAGCAAACATGACAAAAACAATTTCTGGGGATTAGCATGCTAGCTTATTACTCTAAATGTCCAAGGTTAGGCTGGGGCCACACGAGCGCACAAAATGCGTCCGTTGTAACGAACGTCGTGACGTCCGTTGTAGAAATAAACAAGAGAGGCGAATGCTACGCTTTCTTCTGGCTCCATTGCAGACAAAAAACTATGCACTGCATTCTGCAACTGTGTGGTGTCCTCAGCAACGACCGTCATAAAGTACGTTCGTTACAACGGACGCATTTTGTGCGCTGGTGTGGCCCCAACCTTAGAGCCCAAACTTCTCATCTGATATTACAGCGATAACGGGTCACCTGCAAACGGTAATAAACAACAAGCTCTCGAAAATTTGTATGGGAAATACATTCTAAACAATGGACAATGTGCAACATAATATTGGTTGTTACGTCAGCATTTATGCTGATCACACTGACCGCGAATTTTAAGGCACTTAAAGTCTTGGGATACTTGAACACTTGGAGAGTGGGTTCGAATCGCACTCTGGGGCATATATGATTATCTCCGATTTTTCTGGGTTTCTCTTGTTCTGTATAGGAAGAGGCCTTGCGACGGGCCAATCCCTTGTCTAAGAAGTATCAACGAATATTTAAAAGAATCTTACATTTCGAATTTAATCATAAATTTGAATATGCTTGAATGCCTAATCCGTAAACCGAAAAACAATCTAATATCTGTTTTGTTATTGTTTTCATGACCATGGGCCTTTCGTATTGTAAAGCCAGGAATTTAAGGGGAACATATCGTCTCCTTCATCTCATCGGAGTGTGAGGAAGCAAGAAATCAGCAGAACCGGGCGACAACTGCAACACGTTCCTCCGAAACCATGATCTACCTCCGAATTACACCACATTACAACACAGAAGACCATACCCAATAGTGTAGTACTTATATAAAACACTGTGGCATAACAAGTTACATTTTGGTAGATATCAGGCTTTTATAAATTGGAACGTTGACGGAATTTTAAATGCGTTCCAGCTTGAGTAACTTGGAACACATGTTCAAGCTGCACAGGGAAAAGCACGACGACGAATACGAAACACGTCCTGCACTTACCTGACTTACCAGTTGTTGAAACGGAGGTGCTGATGGATCGAGGCGATCCAGGTCTGTGTGCAATGCGAATTCGGTGAGGGCTTTCCAGGGCGGTTGGTACGACTGTACCTCGATAGGGTTGATACCCAAGGGGCTCTCGTGACGTACTGGACTCGACGCCACCATGGGGATCCCCTGCATGCTCCCGTACCCTAATTTCCTGCCGTCCTGTAACAGTAACATGGAGCGAACTTTATAGCTCGCTGAATCATATTTAAAATACGTACCAGACACATAGGAAGTAGCTTTAGGTACACCTAAAGTTTGCCCCTCTTTGCTTATATGCTGCTTTTAGTGTACTTCCCTCTTTTGAAATAATAAAAGTATACTTCTGATACCACCTCGCTATCTGGGGGGCACGCTGTAGCGTAGTTTGGTTGAGGTACAAGCCGGAAAGTCACGGGTCCGAGTCCCGATGAGGTGAATTCTTTCAATTTATCTACTCCTTCCAGCCGCACTATGGCTCTGGTGTGCACTCAGTCTCTAACAGAAATGAGTACCAGGAATCTTAATGGGGTAAATGGCGACCTGCGCGTAAGGTTGACAACCTTGCCGCCATCTGTGGGCCGATTTTCTAGAGAACTGTGTGAGCTCGACGTCTCACAACCCTATGGGACTTCACGGCCTGTCACAGGGATGGCTTTCTACCTAGCTATCTATAGCTGTACGTGTATCCTTCCTATACTTGCTAGGCAACAGCTCGGTAAACACGTTCCCGAGGCAACGAATACTCACACAACAATACAAGAATTATTGGACGAGTCGTTTTCTATGCGATCCATATCATATCAAATAAAAGTAGGCATTAGTTCTTCCCAGAACTTCCTGTTATTCTTAGGAACATAAGTCATTTATAAAACACGTCCCCATGAGCCCCCATTAATTTATAAAATCTGGAAATTTTGATCTCATACATGAGGTTTGCATATTTCATAAATACTACAAATGATAATAGAAAAATTTTTGAAGAGTTCTGTTTTCTAGGATATGCATTTCGTTGAATATCAACGGAAGTTTCGGAAGAATACGTCGCCTCCATCTTCAAGGTAGAATAATAAGCGAAACAAGAAACCAGAAAGAAGCAGGTAGCAAGCAGAGGACCACAAGGCATTAAATCCCGGAATACAGAACTCTTCATATCCTCCATTCTGCAAACATCAAATCGTACAGAGAAACTATTACTGGCAGATCCACCTACCGGCAGAATTAGTACTACTAGTAGCCAGCGCGTGCGCACTCACAATCTTAAGCAGGGCCATTAAGATTCTGCGGCACAGAGAGAAATGACTCTTAAAGTAACCTCGTGCGCAAATGAAATATTCGTATTAGGTTGTGTTATTATTACAAAAAATATTTCACTTGCAGGAAACGTAATAGTTATCACAAGCGGCCTCCGTTGTCTAGGGGTAACGTTCCCACCTCATGACTCAAGGTACGCGGGTTCAAANTACAACAATAATAATAATAATAATAATAATAATAATAATAATAATAATAACGTAATAGTTCTTCGAAACCAAGTTCATGTTACAAAGACGCCAGCTCAGCGATATTTCTCTATTTTTTTATCATTAGTCCCCAGAAAAGTCACATATTCGTTTTAAGCAACGTTTCCCAAGAATTGGGATATGGATATGGCTGCACGTTACAAAACAGATCATTTGATGCCCTCGAAAGGATGACAATACTACATGATGTATGGGTGGGCAAAATGTTAAAGAGGAGCAAATACTCCCTTAACATCTCCCTGTCTCATTTTGAACACCCTGCTGGTCCCCGATTTTTCTGTCGTTTTAAAAAAGTTACAGGAAAAATTATGAAATGCTTCTTAACCAGACCAGACACGTTCTAAGTGCCACAAGATATCTGGAATTGACTCAGTATCCTTCAGTTTCCGCACTACGAAACCTGTATCGCATCTCAGGAATTTAAAGTAAATATTTTAGCATCCAGTAAGCGTATATTTTCAGGAATTATAGTTATCATATGACCTTTCGAGTTTCGTCGTGTTTTGTGATTAGTAGTTCTTAGCTAGCCATCTCTGTAAAGGGACGAATTTTTACTTTCCAAAGCAAAGTCCTGTTACTTGCTTACTTATGTTGTCACCGACAATTCTTTTTGAAGAGTCTACACACAGTGTCACGTTGTAGACAATTCTACGTTAATATATTTGGGAGATGGAAATAAGATTAATAATTTAAAATATTTAAATGTTGGGCATAAAATATATGTATTTGGAGAGATAAACACGTTACTCAGCGAGCAGCTGTCTAGAATTTGGCATGGTGAAGTTAGTAAGCGGAAATTTTATCAAGAAGAGGATTAATTTCTGAAGGATTTGGAGGAGAAACACAGCAGATAAAGAAGTAAAAATGACATAAAATGGGTAGTGAATATTCTCCTTCTGAAACAATGTCGCGCGGTGCAAATTCCGATTACCAGGCCAGCCAATCGCAAAACTCGGAAATATGGTGAGTTTGAACATTTTCCCTCTGGAAGTTGGCTATCTGCTTAAATTTGACGTATATGAGTGGAACCCTAGGTGGCCAGCATAGCTTTCACTCTATATACGTGTATTTCTGCTGAAAAACGAATATAAAACGTTAACTATTTCCCTTGGTGTTTGTTTCGTGAAAGAAAAGATGGCTTCACACAGCGAACACGTCGACTTTATATATATATATATAAAGCAAAAGTATCCCTTTGCTATTTAGGGTCTTTAAATGGGATAGTATTTTTAATATATATATATATATATATATATATATTTACTTATGGAGCTGAGCCCTTTTTGAGGAGAAGCCAAATCTGCAGCTACTCAAGAAATTCCCAGTATTTTATGGAACCCGAATGTTCATTAGTGTGTTTACAAGAGACCTCCACTAGTCCCTATTCTGAACTACATCAATCCAATCCATAACACCCCATCCAACCCCTCTAAGAGCCATTTTAATATTGTCCACCCACCTACGCCTTGGTCTACCCAGTCGTCTCTTTCCTTCTGGCTTTTCCATCAATATCCTATATGCATTTCTCGTCTCCCCCATTCGTGCTACATGACCTGCCCACCTCATCATCCTTGACTTGATAATTCTAATTATACTTGGAGAAGAGTACAAGTTATGAAGCTCCTCATTATGCAGTTTTCTCCATCCTCCAACTTCATCTCTCTTCGGTCCGAATATTCTCCTCAACACCGTGACAAAAAACGCCCTCAATCTATGTTCCTCCCTTAATGTCAGAGACCAAGTTTCACACCCATACAGAACCACAGACAAAATTATAGTTTTGTATGTTCTAATTTTTATGTTTTTGAACAGCAGACGAGAAGACAAAAGGTTCTGGACTGAATGGTAGGAAGCATTACCCGAGTTCAATCTCCTCTTAATTTCCTCCTCAATCAGGTTTTGATTTGTTACCGTCGTTCCATATATATATTATGTCATAACTGGAATAATTTGAAAAAAACTCGACGTTAACATTGTATCATATCATAAAGAAAGCATAAATTCGAGACAGGACAAAGAGGGAGAGGATATGGATGTTTTGTGCGAGATTGTATCCGCAGAACTTAAGCAAACTGTGATAAGATCACTTTCATCATTATCATGACAAGAAATTCCTGCTAACTCCAACAAAGGCTGAAGTTCTATTGTTATCATGTCTATCCAGACGAATCGAAAAACTAATAAATTACTAATGATTCAAGTACTTAAATTATTAACTCTTAATCCTACGTTGTTTAATGCAATTGATGTAGTATGAAGGAATAATTAGGGAACAGTTTGTATTACTACCTACGAAGTAACTCACTCACTCACTCACTCACTCACTCACTCAGGGAGCTGAGTCTTTCTTGAGAAGCCGAAAATTGTGCAGCTAAAGAGCTTCAAAGCATTCTACGGAACCCGAAGGTTCATTACCGTGTTTACAAGAGCCCTCCATCGTCCCTATTCTGAGCCAGATCAGTCCAATCCCTACCATCTCATCCTATCGCTCTAAGATCTATTTTAACATTGTCCACCCAATTACGCCTTGTTCTTCCCAGTGGTCTTTTTCCTTCTGGCTTTCCCAGCAAAATTCTATATACATTCCTCATCTCCCCATTCGTGCTACATGACCTGCCCACCTCATCCTCCATGACTTGAACATTCTAATTATACTTGGAGAAGAGTACAAGTTATGAAGCTCCTCATTAAGCATTTTTTCTCCAACCTCCTGTCACTTCATGCTCTCTTCGGTTCAAGTACTATCCTCAACACCCTGTTCTCAAACACTGTCAGTCAATGTTCCTCCTTTAATATCAGAGACCAAGTTTCACTCCCATACAGAATCACAGGGAAGATTATAGTTTTGTATATTTTAATTTTTATGCTTTTGGACAACCGACAAAGTAATGAAAAATAATTTACAGCTTGTGGAATCGTGTCAATTTAATGCGACTCTTAGTTTGGCTGAATACATTTCATAGTTATTTCCTTTTCGCGTAGATCCTTGCCTGACAAATTACATAATTTGGAAAGCCATAAGTTTCAGTCTTCATAAGATACTGTTATTATTATTAGGCCTAAATTAAGAGGGGACTATCGAACGAGACATGAAGCAAACATGGAGAAATGGACTAAATTTTGATCGGAAAGCCAGGAGAGGAGGATAACTCTGAGATACGTGTATTTTTGAGCATGAGCATGCAGAGTAAGAAGTGGTATTGTAGGACAGTTTGAACTGGCTTAGGACAGGACACAAAGGCGGCATTTTGAAAACAGGGCAATCAGTGTTGGGACGTTGACCAGAAAAATGTCTATGAAATGCACAGAAATATCATGTACCCTTTAATTAGTTCTTATTTCCACCCAAAATAAAAATTTTTTTTAATTATTATATAAGTTGCCTAAATTATGAGTTCCCAGAAGGGAAGTGAGAGGGAGGAAGCGGCCATAACATTGTTTTCTATTTCTCCTGAAGGTCCGAGAAATTTTGGTTTATATGACCCTTGAGAAATTCGCAACAGTTTCTTCCCTAATACGAAGAAAATTAATTGTAATATTCCATGAATTTTTGTTTGAAGTATTATATAATTAACAAAATTGGTGATTGACTTACATTTTCGTAATATACTGCCCCCGAGAACAGAATCAGGCGGCCGAACGCCCCGCCAGCCTGCAAGATCCAGAAAACCATATCTACTGTATTAGTCCGCTGCTTGCCTCTGGTGTATCAGGACTTGGGTCAAAGTCAGGTATCAACATGTAAACATAAGTGTAAAACTGGAATTCTCTAAATCTTTGGCAGTAGTTCATCCGTCACGCTACAACTATACTGGACTTTTCTTGTTGTAGGGTAGGACGGGGTGATAGTGGTCAACGGGTAATGCCATTCAGTCACTTTTCTGACAAACAGTATCAGACAGATATTTCCTCACAGTGCTGTCACCTAGGGCTTGATTCGATGAAATACAAAAGTGAATACAATCATTTTTTTTCTGTTACATATACCGAGACAATTGCATGTATTTATTTCGTACCACCATGATCTAATTTACGTTAAAATACCTGATGTGACTGAAGTTTCTTTGAACTATTTAAATTTAGGTACGTGTTTACATATTGTGTAGGATAAGCTACGTGCCCAATAGCTACTTACTAGTAAAATATGTTTTATTCAGAGATCGTCTGATTTACGAGTATTTCAGTGATATCTTGAAGCTCAGATAGTGATTGTCATGAACTATAGGGGTGGGGAATACCCGTCAAAGCTCTTCCTTTACTTATAAGTTCTTACAGAATTTTTATGTTGGTTGTTCTTCATATACAAAACCAAACTTCGTGGTTTCATTCTACAAGCGAACTATACCGACCGAGCGACCGCCGCTTGTCAGCGAATTTAGTGCCAACTTTAGCGGCTAGAAGGTGTCGTGTGGTCATCGCAAAGAATCCTCAGGGCCTTTAATTTCGGTTTTCTAGACCGGAGCCGCTATTTCCTTGAAAGAGCTCCTCAATTATCGATTGTTTTTCATACGGTATATTTAAGTAGTAATCCCCATCATACTAAATGCTAGGTTATACAAAATATTCAGCTTTACACACAATTTTCATCTAATCCATCAGTTCTCTTAGATGACCGTCATCTACCCGGTCTCCCCTACAGAATATCCATGAAGTCACACATGTGTCAAATGTACTTTTTGTGCCGTAAATTTCAAAGAATTTCTACTTTTTTTCTAGATAATTTCCTTTAAGTTACTTCAATTTTGGCCGCGCCATAGCTCAAGCGGTTAGTCGCTGGCTTCCCACCGCCGTGGCCCGGGTTCGATCACGAGTCTGGTCAAGTGGGATTTGTGGTGGACAAAGTGGCGCTGGGGCAGGTTTTCTCCGAGTACTTCGATTTCCCCTGCCAATCTTCATTCCACCAATTGCTCCACAATCACCCTCACCTATCATCTGGGGCCAGTACAATAGGCCAGAATAGGCCAGTACAAGGGACTTAGTCCCACCCCACTAGCAATAAAAAAATTACTTCAAATTTAGCAACAAGATGAGCCGGAAAACAGCCTTATCCAGTTTCTTGATTGCTTTCTAGTGCTAGTATGCGATCGTAAATCTTGATAACTTCCTTCTGTTGCTCCACTTTACGGCTGAATTCTACATTTGATATATATTACTACGACTTTCAAGGGGATAGTTCTGTACACTAGTGGCCTATTAGATATCACTCAGATTCAGTAATAAAATTCCCTCAGGTTTGTTATAGGCCGATGCAGCCAGTATCACAGAAATAAGCAGAAAATACGTAAGTATACTAGCAACCAGAAATCTGAAGACAGGAGCAGAACTACCGTCCAGATCATTCTGTATACTGAATATACCTCAAAACGATGAGCAATGCCCAGCATAATTACGGCCTACGGACAATATAATAGCATGCTGTATAGAATTATGATCTGACATGTACTTTAAATGTGGGTATTTAATGATGCTGTCACTATTCGAATTACATTAAGATGAATGGGAAAGTAGAGGAATAGTTCCATGTATTCTTAAACTCAGCACTAGATGGAGGTGAGTGGTCAGCTTCAAGTTCCCGCCGCTTCCACCCCTAGAGGAAGAGTCCACAGAACCCAGAAGATAGGGGATTATATGGGCTCTTGAGACGTTCTGGGCGCTATGGAGAATAGAAGAATATTTTAGTCCTATCATAAATCGAGAGCCAATTCCTCGGCCATCCAGCCTGTAGTAAGCCGCTACACGGACTAAGCTGCCACCGCTCCCGGTACCTATATTTGCTTTTAACTTATATTTGACATGGTTTATGATGTTGAAGATAAGCACTGAAACACTAATTAGTTTTATCAACGGTGCTGACAATAATTAGAGTCAACTTCAGACAGTTAAAAACAGAAAACGTGAAGCTCCATCTATTAAGTCTGTCCATGCTGGGTTTCATTTGCCTGTTAGCAACTACATAGTCTCCCACGTAATGGGTACTGGAGGCTCTTTACCAAGGAGTTAAAGCTACCGAAGCTTGAAGCTCACAGCTCATCTCTACCTAAGGCCGAGTTTAAGAATGCCTGGAGCTCTACCTCTGTTTCCTCACACATATTCGTGGAGCGGTGCTTAATAAAGCACAGGGACTTAATATTTCTGCTTTAATATATGTTGTATCCCACTTAGTGTCCTCGAGGCGTTAAGGGAGTCCTAAACACACAACTGTGAGTACAATATATGAAGGAAATAAACTAGCGTAGGCTTATTGTGAACAGTGCTTCTAATGTTACTTGCAGCGAAAAGTTGCTTTCTTTGGAAATCCTTTCTTTAATAATTCATTACTGAAAATTATGAACATCACAATTCTGAAATTAATGCAGGTAGACCTCCGTGAATTTACTTTAACAACCGTCTACATGACAATTAATTGATGAACACAATAGTTATTTATTTTAAAGGTAATGGCAGCTCCAATCGTATCAATCAACTTCAGGTGGTATGAAATTGACAAATATAAACATTTGTTAATTAATTATATATTATAAAAAACCCATGTTGAGAATTAAATGCATTTCTTAAATTAAATTTTTAGGCATATATTATTAACACAAATTTAGTGTAAAAATTTAATTAATTTTTCCATATTTTAAAATATTGGACTATTTTCGGATAGATATATTAAGGTTATAAGAATATTAAAAGGCAGGTAATAGTTAGGTTCTTATAGACTTGTTAAATTACACATAATATCGGAAATTGAAAGTATTGAATTCTTCCACCTCGTAACGACAAGTAATTATAAGGTTATCACTAGTTCACACATTCGACTTCTCACTACAGAACACGCTGAATCTCTGTCTGATATTATCTTTACTAGTCGTTGCTCGGTTACGGTTCCCAGCAGTGGAGATTTTCTGTCCCCGCTTACATAGTTACCGGCTGACTACCATCTTATAACTCGTCCTCAACTGGCCACTCATTGGTTATCACTGACTATCACTGACTGACTGCTAAATTGGTACTGGCCTTCGCCAGCACAGTGATCCTTTATTCAAATTTCCATTGGACCTAATACCATATTCTTTTCTCTGACGGCTCTGGGAGCCTTCAGACGCATGACTTAAAGTCAGCATTAAATTTATATTACGAATGGCAGTCAGTCTGCCAGACTGCCTTGGTTTCAAGTCCAATCTGCAGCCCAAGACTAGATTTTTGTTGCTGTCTGAGAACTACGGGTTTGTAGATGTGAAGTGCCCACGCTGACAAGAGCACAGACCTGTCATTTGCAATTGTTGCTGGTCCTCGCCAACACAGTCGTTATTACGTCCGGGTTGATCGGGGTTCGTGGCCGTATTTTAGTGCCTCGGTTTCGAGACTCCTGCAAACTGAAGGGCCATGTCCTTTGCATTTATATCCCCTGTGGACATGGTGGCCCAAGTGTACCCACAGAGTGTGTTCAGAAGCATGACTGCGGTTGGTCTCGTTACATAATCTCGGAACGGACCGCATAGGCAACACCACGTTACCTAGCAATAACTCAATAGCTCCTATTTTGTGGCTTCTTTGATTCGTAGTTGCGGAACCACTTTTATCCACACCGTTGCCTAGTAAGAGTCATCTTTAAGTTATCATGTCACAACTTAATAATTTGTGAGAGCGTATAAAACCTCATTTCAGAATGGATCAAATTCTCAATAAGGAATCTTTCGATGATGTAATATTTCATTTACGAATACTAGTGTTTCTGGTAGCCGATCACACTGGCCGAGCGGCCTAAGGCATGACCTGTCTCCGCTCGCTCGAACGCTGGGATCGTGGGTTCGAATCCCACTCAATGTATGGATGTTTGTGTGCGTTTATTATGTATTTGTGTTGTTCTGTATGTAGGTAGCAGCCTTGCGACGGGCTGATCTCCTGTCCAAGGAGTCCTACCGACTGTGTAAAGATTAAGAAACTAAAAAATCGGCCAAGGTCCAACAAAAAAGGACTGTACACCGGCAGATAGATAGATGGATAGATAGATAGATAGATAGATAGATAGATAGATAGATAGATAGATAGATAGA